GGAAAATTTCAATTAAACTAACAATAACGGATTTATTTATTATCCGGATTATTTATTATTCTTAAACGTCAATAAAAAGTATACTGTTGCCGACAATAATGTGACGTATCCAGTTCGTCTTGTTAATTTTTTTGATCTATGCATGGGGATGTGTGGCAATATATCCGTTGTAAGTGAAAAAATGCCGCGTTTGGTCAGACTCGCGCGTGAATACAAGTACGTGCTATTAAATACAATTTCTCTATTTGCGATAAAATCTGTACATTGGATTATTGCACTGAAAGGAAATGTCGAAAAGGAATTGTTTACTTTGTGTTTGTATGTCGCCGCATGTTTTATGCAGAATATTGGATAGACAATTGTTTAAATCTAAAACGTTCAACTCTCCATAATCTTAATAATATTTCGTTAAAAATATATTGTAAATAGTGATCGGACGATTTTATTTTTCGGATTTAAATGGCTTTTCTTGTTACGTATCTTTCATACATTAGTACTTTAAAAATAATAGAAGAATTGTATTCACGGAAAGTTACGTATTATCCGGCTTATTGTTAGTGTGCTACTTTTGAATCAACGTGTTGTAATGCAAGCAGGGGAAATATGTCGCGGTATCGAGTCATTGTTAAACGAAAATGATATACGAGCCACGAATTGAAAATCAAGCCACAGCGTGCTGGTACTTTTGTGTACTTTTTACACGACAACTTCTGCATAAGTCGAAACGAACCCAGATGGAAAATTAATATCGCAATATACTGTTACGAGGTTTACGAAGCGTGATTTCAAAGATTAAAAGTCGTAGTATTAACTTCGTTAATATTCCTGCCTGCGCGAACACTTTTCGTGCGAGAATAGAATGAAAAGTCAGCTTGTTAAATTTGAAAATAAAATCTAAAAATGCATATAATATATTTACTCATAAGTGTATAAGTGTATAAATGCGAAGCAAACACAATATTTTTCTAATCATTGGGTTTACGTAGCATCTCTAGATGCAGCAATATATCTTTATGAATTTTATGATAGCGTTTCTCTTAAAATTTACGACTGAAATAATTAACAAACATCGTTTCGCGAAACAAAGTTTATCAAAGAAATGAAGCGTGCAATCTAGTGCACGAATGTATTAATATCATAGTGAAATTTTGATCATTTTTTTATTTTCGTATATCGTTAGACAATGTTTTATTAGTGCATATCTCGCTAGAAATTGGAATGCAATTAAAATTCTTCTACTTTATAGTCTTAATTAAACTGCGACTTGTTTTTAGTTTGTCATGCGATAAACTACCGTGTTAATAGAGATTATAAACGCGCAACAGGTTCAGCTGATCATTTTCTTTTTCGACGAAATAAACGCTTGAACATTCTCGCCACATTATTGCTAAATGATACTAATATATAGGGAGTATATTAGTATCGACATTAATTAATTAACAAAACGAGTATTCTCTCTAATACGAAAATATGATAGTTTTCGGATTATAAATGATCACAGTTGTCGAATGATACGAGTTTATTATTCGAGATTTGGAGAAAATTATAGAAATACAATATATGTATACATACAGATAATATTAATTTACGAAATTACGAAATATTATTTGGCCAAATCAATTGATCAATTTTTCTTTTTTTTTTTTTTTATGAAGAATAACGACTTTATTAAAGAATATTTTATAAGTAAGAACTGTCATATTTTTGAGTTTATACGTAATAAAAAATAATGATAAACTAATAATATTTTTGTCTAACAATAAATATCACGTATATATCGCATTTTATTTTTATATATTTTTTTATATTTATACATTTGAGATTGATAACTTTTTAATCTAAAGGGTTTTTGAGTTGTCGTTTGCCTCGGTTTCTCTCGAGAACCGTGTTTTGCCCGGCTAAAATGCGAAATGTCGCGTACACTTGGCGAGACTCAAAGAAATGCGAGAAATTTCATTGACGGGACAAAAGATACACACAGGCGAAACGATTTGGAGCGTGAAAATCGTAACACGGAAAAACACTCGTGTTGGATACCCGGAAGATTGGAAAAAGCTCGTTGAAAGTTGGTAGGCGAAATTTCTTCTCGTCGTCTGATTTTTCCCGTTACACATTCTAGCTGGGTACCCTTTATCGACTGTCGCGGGGAACGATACTTATTGTGTTCACCAGATATCACGAAATCACGTCGAACAAGAATAGTTTGTTCAACAACATAACTTTTAACGTTTTGCTCCTAATACGCTCACTGATCCGAAAAACACTTTTCTCGAAAGAATTCGTCGTAAAAAGAACTGCATTTTATAATGTACATTAGACCATTGGCTAATGCCAATCGCTTATGTTGTCATTGAGGGAACAGATTTGTCAGTAGAGCACATAGTATGCGATTCTTTTCTTAGTATTTAAATTACAACAGTACATAGCTAAGCGTTAATAAATGTAATACAAATTGCATACATATCTTATTTGCGATTATCAAGATTAGAGTTGAATATTTGTTCGATTTTTCTTCGATTATTCGGTCCCGAGCGAGCTCGATTTAACACATAATAAAATTTAACGGGGCGAAGGAAGGACGAGGAGGACAACGCGTATAGAGGAAGAGTACATAAACCTTCATGTGCAGAACGGATTTTGAATGACGAGGAAAACATAGCCACGAATTTTAGAGAGAATGTCGAACGAACGTCGCGAATCGTCGAGCGGGCTAATTTCATTCTTGATACCGCGCATTAGTTCTGCTATCGACATTCGTCTCGAGAGCGTTAATTCTCTTGAGCGTAGAGAGACATGGAAGAAATATCTCGGGTCAAGACGAGGGTTGCCACTTACATGCACGACACCATACTCGGAGTTTCTGGAAATGGCAATGTCGATAGCCATCACCTCGATTCCCCTTAATCTTGATTAATCTTGATTTATCGCGAGACTTGCCGTTCACCTCAGAGGTCGCGATACGTTGTTGGCCCGTTGCCATAGTCTTATTAGTCGACGCTTAATTAGCTGATTTCTTATGATTAATTAATTGATTATTTGTCGTGTCAACAGCAACGAAAGAGGGTTCCCGCGTTGGTGTTGAATTAATATTTGTTAAGGATTAAGCCCTGTCCCATATTTGTCGCGACAAATGACGTTTGCGTTTTAGTCTATATTTCATTGACAATCATAATTCTGCCTTTAACTTTTTTGTCTTTAAAGGAAGAGAGAAATTTCTGTTTTTCACTATATATTTTTCTCACTCTCAAACATGACACGGCAATTTTGCAGATTCTTATATATCTTGTTTAATAATCAACAAAGCATAGAAGAAAGCAAAGAATTTTCAACGTCAAGAAATGCAAATTGATGAATAACTGAGTTGGTTTATATGCCTTTGCCGATCCTCGATCGATGCCTCGCGATCGTCAGTGCCTCTGTATACTGGGGAATATGCTCCCAATATCTATTCATAGCGTGTGGCTTGACATAGAGCTGAACCTTTTCCCCTGGCAAGCGAATGAAGTACGACCCATTTTTCGATTAAACCTTCGAAAAAAGCGTTCGAGCCGCAGCGAGGATCCTTGTTCGAGGGATTGGGGATTCGACGCTTTTCGATCGAGTTATAGTCTCGTTTTGTAATTTAGGGCAAGACAAATTGCTTGGATTCCTTTCAGCCATTACGAGAGTTGATCTTGCCGTAACTATGATAGATATATCAATTTTTTTTGCACGGCGTGAAAATTCTATTCATCTATCAGCGCGTAGACGACAGTCGAGGTAATCCTCACTTTTTGCATAGATTGATGTGACGTGTGACGTATCGGCGATTTACAAGTTGAATTACGTAAACTTATGCCGCGCTTTCCGAAACACGCATTTTCCGACAGCACATCAATGAGATTATTACTTCCGCGTGATGATAATATGTTATCGCAAGCTTTTCTAATTCTAGCACTGATTCGAACTTTTGTAACTCGATCTTACTATAATCACATTTCTCATGTACATATAAGACTTTCGCGTTTAAAAATATAGGTACAATGTGTGTGTATGTATATATAGACAAATACAGTATCAAAAATCTTGAAGTGCTGCGCCTATAAAACGTTTCTCCATTTTGGCCGCGTTTCGCTTTCCATGTCAGAATCGTTCGTAAAAGATGATGGATCGGCCATATAAAACGCGGGATTGCGTAATGAACTCAAAATTATGCGTTTTATCGTTTCGTACCGCTACTGTCCTTTTTCTTTTCTTTTTTTTTTCGTGTTTTGTTTTTTTTTTTTTTTTTTTTTTTTTTTTTTTTTTTTTTTTTTTTTTTTTTTTTTATCACGCGGACAATTTTTCATGTAACGCGATAAGAATGACACAGCTTATCCCTCTACTTAAGAACTATATGTGCATTTTATATCATTTCGTTAAGTATTTCCATAAGTATGCAATTTCTGCTATATAATAAAATATTGTCATACATTTTTAATTATATAATTGGAAATTGTGCAAAGAATTTTATAGTCTTTAAAATATTAATTAAGTAAAAAATTAATTAAAAAAATTAAGATCTTTTTTCCGATGAATCTAATAGAATCGCATACCTCCATCTTCTAGTTTTATTCCAGAAGATTTGAACCCCTCTCCCAAGCGCACCACTTATAATTACTCGAATCACAATCGGCAAACAACAGCAATTACGGTCGTCTCCTTCGCGCGCAGCAACCGTCTTGCCCAGCGGCATCTCGTAGCTCGTAGCCGCTTTACCCCCGAGACTTCTTTTTTCCCCCCTCGACGTTGGGAGAAAGAGAAAGAGCGAGAATGGGTTACTTACAGAGGAGCACATAAGTTGCACAAGAGTGCCGGATGCTGGGGGTGGTGGACACGGGGGTTGACGGTTGGGGAGCGGATTCGGGAGTGCGCGTCGCGGAGAACGCGCCGCGCCGCGCCGCGCCGCGTCGCTCGCTCGCTCGCTCGCTCGCTCGCTCCCGCTCTCGGGTCTCTCGGATCTCGGGGCGTGCGGGAGAGTCAGTGCGCGGCGAGGCGCGCCAGCTGCCGCACGTCATGATTCTACCCCAGGTGAGCGACGATGTACCCAGATACTACCACTACCACCCCGTCGTTAACAGGACGACCGCCGAGAATCGTGAATATACACTCAAATGATAGTCCCACCATGTGCATGATGAGTGTGTCGAACGATCTTTTTGCATTGGTTCTTCATTTCGTCAGCACGAGATAGCATGAGTAAAATTTGTCATCCTTTATCTCCCCGTTTTCAAATCTTCCCCCCCCCCCTTGCCCTTACCTCTCCCTACCTCCACCCTCCCTCCCTGCCTCTCCTTCCTCTTGCTCCTTCCCCCCCATGGTACCGCGCCCCTTATGTGTCGTTACGTGTAGACGTAATTTACGTGAAGGAGATGCATTTTTAGAGTGCGAGTATACGAGATTACGCGAAAATATCGCGGCAGTGATGTGAGCGGCCGGTAAAAATGAAACTTTGCGTGATTCGGCTCGAATGCCGTGAACGCGAAGGGAGGACCAAGCTCGGATTATTTCTAAAGTCGGAAAAGTGAGTGAAGAGAGACGAGGTCTCTTTGTCGAATCGAAGGGGACGCTAAGTGATGAAATTAAATTGTGCCGTCGAAGAAATGATTCGCTTTTTATGGTGCAAACACCAGTTGTTTGTAATTTCGCGTATATCGGGGATGGTGACGCATATTCTTACATATTCTTTCGAGTTTTGTGAAAATCATTAAATACCCATAATTTGCAACCGCAAATTGCATTGGTATTTCTTACATCGTGAAATTCGATGCCAGGCATGTCGACAAAATCGATTCTATTCACCGGCGAAATAGTTCACGGATAAAAATAACCCAAAAGATAAAACGTCGACGATGGAAATTTTGATTTACGAGCAAGAGACGCTAATCGTAATGAGAATCGCGGCCGAGATAATGTCGGAGCTTAATTTTATTATCAGTTCGTTGAGTCTCGGGAAACGTTGAAGAATTTTGCAGCGTCTTTATCTCCGTGAAATTTTATGCTAAATAAATGAAAAGCAAATCGATTCATCGTCGACGAAATGGTCTATGGTTAAAAGTATCGCGAATGTTAACGTCGATCGAAAATTTTATTCGCGAGGAATGAATCAAAATATCTAAGTCTTGTAACTTTGTCAGTTTTCGCGGACAACGGCTCAAACATTTTTGCACAAGTGGATTCGAGTCTGCGAAAGTTTCCGAGACACACGAATACGCAAAACTTTATCAACCAATTTCGCGAGTCAGACTTTCTGTAGAAGCGGCTTTTCTATCGCCGCAACAGGTTCTCGTAATACGTTTCGGTCATTATCGTCACGATAATGCTAATTTCCCTATCGCGTCCATCGACGGATTGATTATCAGTGATTGGTCGACGGAAACGACTCTACAAAGACGGAAGACGAAATTTATGTGTCGAGGAAGTTAAATTCCCGCACTCTCGTTATGCTTCATTTGCATTATTCCATCTGCACATTGTGATGTATTTTTGCATGTTCATTGTTGTAACTATTAAAGAATGAATTGAAATATTGGCTTTTACATTAAGACATTGGAACATTTATGCATACAAGAAGAATATAAAAGAAACTTTGATTTTTTTTCAAATTTTTCATGAACGCGTAATTATCTCATAAGCGAGTATAATATTTACGATGAGTCTTTAGCAACAACACTTTATATTTTATTGCTTCAAATATTGTATAAATTAATTGATTCATATTTTAAGAGAATTTATGTGTTTTTAGAAAAAAATTTCTCTCTTCTCCACGTCATTGTAATACATATCTTTTCAGCAACTTATATAAAATGTTTTTTAAAAAATTTAAAAAATTAAAATATATATAAGAAAGCTCTTATATAAGAGAATCTTAAACGTGAAATATTCATTTTCTTTTACATTGGTTTCTCTTTTAAAGTACTGTAGCTGGCAGTGCTGTACTTTTAACACGTCCATATAAGCTTTCACGAACATAATCTGATACTAAAATAGAAAATTCTAGTATGGCACTGTACATATTATATATTGCATTTCACGTGTACAACTATTGTTACCTTCTATAATGCCGCGTTTCTACATAAAGTTAAAATTACGGAGTTGATCTAATTGTATGGAAAACTTATTCTGTATCGGAAATATCTCTGGGATTATACTAAGATTGTACATTAGACGTAAGATATTGTAAATCATAATTATATAACTCATAGAGACATATGTCTGTGGTTATTTTCTCCCTATAAGAGAGGATGAGCGCAAAAATCGTGTGCTTATGAAGCGGTGAAAATTCAATTTCGCGGAAAAGTGGCTAAAAGAGAGAGATGTTGCGCAATTCATCATGAAGCACGCCGGTCGTCGAGTTTTCGCATAAGGATTCGCATAATTTACTTTTTATCGGGAGGGGGGGGGGGGGGGGGGCAAAATTTA